GTTCCGCAAACGCAGCCAGTTTGAGTTTCTAATCCAATGGTTTCTAATTATGCCGCGGGAATCTCGCGTTCACCCGGCGCGACCGTGTATTCGCCTTAATAATCGAAATTTCTAATTAAAGGGGAAAGCACGCGAGAGCTTTTAGCGTTATCGCCGGAAATGGCCGCCAGCTTACAATTAGCCGAGCGTATTTGTAATTCGCAGAAGGGCACGTGCGATTCGTTCTCTGCACACGCGTTTCCGTTGCTCGATAAAAACAGCATTTCCTTTCGAATAAGTAGGGTGAAGGTACGTAATATTGTCTAGCAAACTGAATAATAATTAATACTTTGGTGTGTGATTATTCTAAAACTGAGAAGAGTTAAAATATCGCCTAGCAAAAGTTAAATCTCTGCCAATACAATAATAATTGATATTTTTGTATGTGATTTGTCTGAAACTGAAGAAAATTTCTGCATATTATATTAGGTAATTTCTCACTCCATGGTATTAAAAAATTGTAAATTCAACTTAACGAAACAATGCTTCGTGGATCATCGTCCGCGAAATATTACCGATCGAAATAATTCGCGAACGTTCGGCCGAACGCAAAAAGGATAAAATCGTGTTCCCGTTTAACCGAGGGCGTGTGCAGTTCCGTTCTGGAATTGCCCCCGTTAATGCCTCGAAGAAGCGATTGTTACGGGACGATTTACAGTCGCCTCGTGTCCCCTCCGCTTTGTACCGTGGTACGGACCGATTGGAAATCGTTCTGGGAGGAATCTTTGATCGGAATTGCAGCTGCCTAAGAGAGAAGCAAGCGAGCGAGCGGATCGTTTCGCGGGAGGAAACGGAGCGTTTCTCCTCCTTGTAGCATTCCAGCGTCGCCTTCGATACCAGGCGCCATTGAAATTCCGCCGCGTCCTTCGACGATAATAAAGATAGCTGCAGCCATTGACATTTATCTCGCAGGTGACAGAAGTGCTACCATAAAGCCCATAGTAGCCATCCACGTGTTACACGCCACGCGACCCCCGTTGTCTCTACTTACACGTGATCGAACTCCTAACAGGAGAGCGGAGATTCTCTCTCCGCCGTGCGACGACGTTGCTGACGAGGTTATTGTTTTTATTAGGGACTGAAAGTGCCTTGTACGAGACAGGATTTAATGTAGCTCCAGACCTGGCGGTGTTTCGGACGATTTTTATCCGTTTACGTGGACGATGTAACGATATCAATTTTGTAACAATTATTTCGGTCTGTTGATATTTATTTGATGCACGAGCTGAGGTGAATTGTGTGAGGAAACTGAACCATTGAGGTGGTATTGGTTTGGTCTTCTAACATAAATAGAACTTCGAAATTCTCAGCAGATTTATGCGTATATGCACTCTGTGTATCGATTTGTAAGTGACTGACCAGGAAGGGTCACGAACTGTCCGGCTCCGATTTGGATGAAACTCTGTAGGCTTGAAGATTAGCCAGAAATAGTAGACACGTATTTTTTTTTAGCTAAGGTGACTCAAGTTTAAGGGGTGCAACCACCTGTAAAAGTTCGACCACCTGAAAGCTGACTCGGAAACGGTTAAAAATAGAGAAATATTTGTTTAAGAAGAATTGAATGGTTTTTGGCATGTTAGAAAACAATGCTAGAGTTAACAAAAATATTCGTCAGGTTTCCGAGGTACTTTCATTACATCTACATTCGCTGATCATCTTGAAGAGTGCCTCAAAGTCTCTGGATATATCTCACGTGGTTGCAACTGTGGACTTCTTCAGGTGATCTCTAGGAATGATGCTTGGTTTCTTCAGGGTCTCCTTGAACATCATTGATAGACACCAAAGACTTTCAATCTATGATGAATCCTTTACTCCAAATTCTCATATCCTTTAGACTCTAAAGTCTAGAGTTATGTTTTGATCACCCCTTCAACTCTATAGAAATTCTTAGTACTCCTTTAGTATTTCAGTGATTCCCGAATGTAATTAACTACATACTCTACACACCCCTTAAGAGGATCCAAAGATATTAATGGACCCAATTCGATCCTGAAGGTTAATAGCCATTCGCTCAGACGTGTTCCAGGTAGATAGACTCAGCATCGATAGCACAGCAGAGAAGGAGGTTTTGGTCAAGTAAAGCACCAGGCAGACGTTACTCCATTCCCGTAACCGAATCTGGTTGGCTGTCATTAAAGTCAGCGCACCGTTCGATGCGGATATTGAATTGTGCGGTCTGCCTGGGGATGCAACGATGTTTGCGAGTATAAAAGACGAGAGGCGAACGAGCCTTTACGATCCTCTCCCTCTCTCTGACGGCTATCCTCCCGTCCAGACCCCCGCCATCCTCTTTATGACGCGACTTTTGCGATAACTGTAATGGCCACTCTCGCAACACGAAGCACGCCATTACCGTCACTCTATTTCACAGTTGATATCTCCTCCTCTTTCAGTGGCTACGACCACCCTCGCACCTCGGAGCATCCCCCTTAAAGGCGCCCTGTGTGTGTGTACCTTGACCCAGTGCATCGAACGGGTCGTATGCACCCGCAAGGAAACTCGATAAAAAGCTTGCTACACACGGCTATTATTATGCCCATCGAGCTGTTGATTTATTTTTAGGCGTTGCTCGTCTGCGTGAGTTTCTTGCTCGGCGATCGTCTTCCTGCGAGCCTATTCGAAAGGTCGTTGCTCGTTGGCTGTTACCTTCTACAATGGAAGCGCAGTATCCTCGTATCATGGACACCTAACATTCACTTACAGGAAACTTCCCTTTAAAATCTCTTGAAAAGCCTTCCTTCTTGAGTCTTGTACCATTCGTACATTGATGTTCTATTAACATCTTTGCTGGTGGGAGGGTTTGCAAATATACAGCTTCAGGTGGTTTGAAAATATTTAGAAATTATTACTTACTTTTTGCTTGTTGAACTTTACATATCGGGAAAGCTTTTTTACTGTTCTAGGTCTTATTTAGGAAAGACGTACTTCTATATTGTTTTTGAAGAGACGCACTACTACGTCATCCGACGTCAGAACGTTAACCCTAGGTTACGAAACTATCCTTTGACTTACGTTATTACTAGACTGCGGATTTTATGCATTTGCTGTGAAATACAATAAAAGACAGAACTGTCATTGGATCCAACGAGTTTTCTATTTTATTCTGAATCCAATAAGATGCTTAAGAGGGAAAAAAGATTTCTACAATTGCTCCTGCTTTTATAAATTACTTTAGAAAATTTAATTTTGCATGAAAATCCGCGGTCTAGTTATTACTGATCATTCGTAGAAATGACGAAAACACGTAATAGTTTTTAAATTATTATTTTTACTAAGACAGAAACCTACGTTATAAGTACTTATGATAGTCAGACTTACGAATCCTGAAAAATTAAACTAACTTCATCAAAGAATGGATTATAGAATAAACAAGATTTAGAAACGTTCAGGCCCATCGACACAGGGCCTCTAAAGTGTTAGCAATCATTCTCCGAACTCTTCCAAACTGGATCCCGGTATTTAACGCTCTGCTTGGTTTATTTTTCAGACGGTGACGCAGTGGAATCGAAAGGCTGACAGTGTCTGAAGCGCCGAGGCGAGTCCACGATAGCTAGCGGCGCGTGATACATTCCAAGAGTCAACTGTGTGTGTGTGTGTGTGTGTGTGTGTGTGTGTGTGTGTAATTTTTTCACGTGGTGATTGGTGATTGTCAGGTGAGAAGAAAAGACATTCGTCAAAACGTCGACGCTAGCGATCCCATTGACGAGAGAACGCGCGGTCAGCGATCGATATACCGAGTTCTCGTCGGGTCAAACGAGCCAAAGGAACTCTGGACGAGAGGAGATGTCCCGTGAATGGTTCAGAAGACGATACAGCACGTTCAAGCCGCCAGACATTCGAAGGTAGCGAGTCGAAATCTGTGGAACACAGTGGAACATCGAACCACGCGATAGGATTCTCTGAGAAGGATGAAGATTCGCGATTTCGTCCTCGAAGGAACGAGGGAAAGATCAGACAGAGCCTAAGCGATCGTGTGCACTCTTCAACCAACGATCGGAAGCTGATCGGTTCGTTCGAGAGGCCAAGATTCCGATTTACCTTCGGCGAGAAGGTCAGAAGGTCTCAGGACAGAACCGAGGAACGAGGCAGCCCATCCACCCCGAATTCCACAGAGACTGGGGAGGAACTCCCTCGCAGGAAGCTGCACAAAAGCGACTCGTTCCTCAGGAAACTCGTGAGAAGCTCCCGAGACAACATCACAGAGGGCTGCGAGAGGCTTGTCCGAAACATTCAGAGAAGTCCGTCTGTATTAAGAAAGAAATTCCTCTCGAGCGACGATAGTTTAACTGGGAGGAGCGAGGAGAAGCCAGTGGTTCCTCTAAGAAGGAAGAAATCCACGAAGAGACCGCTGAAAGTCGATCAGACCTCTTCGGTGGACTTCGCGGTGAATGAAACTCCAACGGTCCAGGTTTCGATCTGTCTGAACACCGTCGAGGACAACAGTTTCTTGGCGAACGAAACTACTGGTCAGCCCCAGGGGACGAACCCAGAGGGTCTCGTAAACGACCCTGTTAACAGAATCTCACCGGTCCAGGTGAAACGGAATCGTAGCTGTCCACTCGACGACGAGGGTTCCTCGAAAAGCGTCTCCGTGGAGGACGTGGAGGATCTGATCAGGTCGGAGAACAATCTACGATTGTTGGAGGAACGTGTGCTGATCCGTAGACGGATAGAGAAGTCGACGAAGCTGTTCCAGGCCCTGCAGTCCGATCAACGACGATCCTGGAGCGAGGAGAGCCTGGTAGCCGCTTGTGGGAAGCCTCGACAGGTAGGGTTCCGAGCTTCTAAGAATTACCTGGGCCCGGTTGCAGCCGACTGTTCGCCCATCGCTCACAGACGTTGCGTGCGATCCGATGATTCAAGGTCGCCAGAACAACGGGCGGCGAAGGTACGCTGGAAAACGTGGAAAGTGAAACGTTCCCCGCCGCCGGACGACTGGCTGGTTCATAGGTTAACGGAGCTCCAATGGACCGGCGATGATAAGCAGCCAGCCGGGTCAGCCGATAAGCCGTTGAGAAGCTCATGGATGTCCAGTGAGGAGCTGCACGCGCGGCAGACGGCCACGACGTCGTCCGTGGTAAAATGCAAACTTGCGAATTTCACGGATGCCCGAGTGCTCGAAACGACCGGGGAAGAGGGGGACCGTTGCGAGCCTGCGAAAGAGCAAAGTAAACACGAGCTAGCCGCGAGACGGGCAGGGAACTCGAGCGGATTTTGTAGTGTTAACAGCGAACCGACTGTTCTAGACACGACGACCACGCTGGAACGAGACTTGTCACGTGTAATCCGTTGCAACGAGATTCAATCGAATCTCTCGTCTCTTCTATGCGATGAACGGACCGTTCATGAGGTAGTTGATAGCAATTCTGAGAAGAACGAAGTACAGAACCTGACAGTCCAGGTGAATGTTCCTTGCGTTGAAACTGCGGATTGGAGGACTTCCCAGGTGACTGTGGAGAATTGTTTGAACCCCGACAGACTGATTCAAACGGGGCTAGGCGATCAGACTCCAAAGAAGACCCAGAGCGAGACTAGAAGCGTGCGCAGGAAGAAGGTGAAGATCGTTAGGTATCGGAGGATCCAGGATTCAAACGACTGGAAGATGAAGTTCACTATTAGGATGATCAGGGTCAGGGACAAGCTGATGCTTGGCCTGAGCGCCTTCACTATATTGTTTACTATTCTATTGGTGATGGACCTTCAGATGGACTTGGGGTATAGCGGGCATCATCTTGTGCCCAGTCATGGACGTGTTCGGATGGGGGACGATCCGAACACGGATACTATTTATAATAATTTTCGACGGAAGTTCTTGCAACGTGTGAACGCCAGCAAGGAACAGACCAGTGGTGATGTGTCCGGGACAACGCAGAACAGTGGAAAGGAGGCTGGCGATGTGGGTAGGGACTCGAGGACCGAGAAGATCGTGGTGCACGACAGCTTTCAGGATTTAGTGGACATCGTGGTGAAGGGTTATGGTGTTAGTGTGTACGAGGGTGTGGCTAGGATCAGCGGGGAGGATCATTCGTACAACCCGACGTTGGGTGATTTGAAGAAGATGAGGCCAAAGTAAGTGTCCTTTCATGTCTCTTTTCCTGTTATTCTTTTTTTTGTGCTTCGACAGAAAAAAAAAGTATTTTCGTTGAGTTTAATTCGACTCGTATTAAAAAATACCCAAAGATTGTCTTATTATATAGACATCACGCTAGCATAGCCCCTTAATAAAGCGTATCATAAATAACGGGTGTCGTATCTGCCCATAAAAACTATCAACAATTAATATCGAACAGAGTACAAACAGCCTTCAGTTTGACTTACTTCATAACGAACATCGTAATGAATTCCGTGGCAAGCGTGTGCCCACAATCTAATAAAGTTTCTCGGAACAGTGCTTCGCGATCGGTCCATAAATTTTACAACCGTTGAAATCTTTATCGACCCAGATAATAACGATCGGGAACGACGTGTCGCGGAAAAATTTTCCAGCCGGTCCCGACCCCGGTGAAAATATCTGTCCTCGTTTCGTCCAGCGATAAGCCATTTCCATTCTACGGACACCTAATTAAGGCTGGCGAATCGTGACGAAAGCTGGGCGAGTTTAAAAATCTCGCCTGACCGTCCGTCGAAATCTCCTAAACCGATTTCCGGAAGTTCAGACAGGATCCTGATGTTTTTTTTTGCCTCCCTTCCCCCTCGAAAAAGTTTCTCCCATCGAACGAAAGAGAGTGGAGGGGAAAGCAATTAATCCATAGAGGGACACTCTGTTGAAATAATCGACATCCCATTGAAAAACAATTTCCAATCGAACTGTTGGAAGTAACGGATAAAAATAGTTGCAACGTCCAAGCGTAATTTTAATCGATTGTTTACGCCTCGCTTGATCGCGTGGATCGTTGTTCACCGTGCGTGTGTGCGTGTGTGTGTGTTCCTTCGACAGATTTGCGGCCGAACAAGGTTCGATGCGTCTTCGACTTGTAATTCGGTGGGATCAAGAACGTCACTCTGTCGTAACTGACAGATAAGAGGCCTCGAGAGCTACCGGTATCTGGATCACGAATGCTCCGAGCGTTGACTGGCGTGTCCCCCTCTGATACTTTCGACTCTCCTTATCCGCAGAAATAATATATACATTATATGTGTACATTATTACGCCGCGAATAAACGTTTAACCATTTTTTTCTCACCAACGTTCAGCGCAAAAATTAGCTTCTTTTTCGTCTTATCGCCGCACGTTCTTGAGATTGCATTGTTATACGGGACCAGAGTTGGGCAGAATTTTATTCGAATAATACGTAAATTATTTTATTATAAAAATTGAAATTTCCACGTTTAAGCAAATAAAAATGACGAAATTTGTTTTTTTTTATCTTTTATTCGTTATTCGAAACATTCTATCTAGATAATGAGTTTGCCCATCTCTGTACGGGACACAGCTCGAGTTCGATGAAAATTGTTTTCTGTCTTCGTTTTGGAAACAGAAGAAATGGTTCGAAGGGAACGAAATTTTGTTTGATTTTGTCGTTCGAAATGTATGTACATACGGTGAATTAGACTCGTGTTTCTGTATATTCTTCTGTCGAGTACTGTTTCCAACACGATCTACCCCACGAATTTCTCATATTTCCTACTGAAAATTGGAGAATTTGTCTGATGTTTAAAACACGAAACGGCGAGCTCGCGCCGGTAAACTCGGCCGAATGTATGTCGACCATTTGATACACGCGCGATCTCGTATTTTTCAGCGATTCCATGCGTCACGGTGTGGGGGGAGGGAAAAAAGCAAATATACAGCCGGAGATATTACCTTGCTCCTGTTCGAATTTTATTTTCTATTGGACCACGGCATGCAACTGCGCAATAACGTTAACGTGGATACCCCATTTTCCACGCGTATTTCTTCGTGAATTACAATTATTAGGTTGGTAAGAAATTAATGTCGATTTTGGAACTTTAAAACCACGGAGCTTCTTTGCCTTTTCTTGCTGTCTCAGGTGGACAGTAGGGTAAGGAGTGTTGTTTAAACTTATGTTAAATATCTTAATATTAAAAGGCTTTCAACAGTTTCAATGTAAGTAACGACAGTTTGTTGTTTTACACGCAGTGCAATGTAGTGGTTACTTATTATTTGAACTTTGGTAAGCTTTTTTCCAGCGACGTGAAGGGAGAAAAATGGATTAGATATACGAGATGCTTATAATGGATTTTATTGTTTCGTTTTTGTTTTATTTTCACCCAATAAAACATTATTTTTCTATTTTCATAGATAAAACATTTTCTAAACATATAAAAGTCAACTATAAAATTGATTACAACCAACTGTGAGCAGTTTATGATTAAAACTAGCAGGGACGAAATTCAGAACATTTTTGATGAAAAGTAAATTATACAAATATGCTTCCTGTCTATCTCAAAGTCAATACTCCGAACTGACCAGAAATTGAGTCGACCAAAGCCCAAAGTGACTACCTCCACTTTCAAAATTTTTCTAAATTTTAATATCCGAGCCACTTGATTGATGCTTAACGTTGTACATTTAAAATAAATTCCTTTGATAATTATTATAGGCTTAATCTGCACCGTAAAATGATATTACCAAAATAAACAGAATGAATTCATTTGAACGTGAAACTTTGAAAATTTATCCAACATTAATTTCTTGCTAATGCATTGCAAACACACTCAATTACTCGAGACTCAAAGCAATCAATTGCTGACGTTAAATTCGTTTAATAAGTTCATCCATTCAATTACAGGCTGGTCTTGAGGAAGCATTTCTTGACTCAGCTCTCGACCGTCACAGCGTTTTAACCGGTAATCAATTCCACTTAAATGATTTTATTGTCCAGCAAGCGTGGTACGTTAGTTGCGCGTCGCGGAAACACTACACACGGCGACGAGATTATATCGTGTGTCGCCTTTGGTTCTCCGATCGCTTACGTGTGTACCTATCCAGCGCACATATTGCTGTGCAAGCATGCTGTCGTACGGCAAACGTAATTACCCCGATGACGGAAGGAATACGCGCGCCTGGTTCACGGATGCGTTCACAAGGATCCATTCGATCGGTCGCTTTCATCCTTTGAACCCTTTTCGAATCGATGGGACTTGTTCCGACGATTTTCACCAGATCCCCCTTTCGTCCACGTTCCTTTTCATCGTGGTCTTAATTCGTGTGTAAATCGTCGGGACCATTTTGGTGGCGTATACAAAAATTCGAAAGATCGAATTACAGGAAATCCTCGATGGGTCGTAAGGTCTTTGGCACTGGAACATTAAATACTTCATAAACTACTGGCCGTATTGGGATGAAATAAATATCATTTGCTGCAGAATTCGAAGCTCTATCACTGTGATAAATGACGACTATATCATGGAAATATTTTGTTCCATAATTTTTGTCGTACAGTCCTGATAGAAAAAAAACAGAAATTTCCTTTATACCTACTATTGAATAGCTCGACCCTTTTCAGGTATATACCCCAAGTACTGTAGCTAACGCGTCAGTTTACTGTGAGAAATCGTAGGTGAAACGTTGAGCTATGAAGACTCTTGCAAGACGTGACTTTCGAGAATCTGAATTTTTTAACGAAGTCGTGAGTATCGTGTTAAAGTGGATGGAGACGAAGTGGAAAATTTGGAAGAAGTTTTCGATATGGCTAGTGTATAATTGGTCTTCTTTGTTCGATTGTATGCCTTGTAAAAAATATCGGAGGGAGTACGTAACTGGATAGAAAGTAGGGGTGGCTGGAAAAGTGAAAGTAGGAAAGGTGAAAGTGAGTGGTTCGAAGAGAAGAATGACCCGAGGGATGCGCGTACAGTGTAAACACGTGGTTTATGTCTTTGCTTCTCGCAGTGACTTCGTGGTGCTTCAAGTTCATCACACAAGTATGTATTTCGAGTATTGTACTTCCTACACTTAGGATACTTACTTCTACGTACTTGTTCCTAAGTTACGCCTTAGATTTCTCAATTAATTAATAAATTGTGGAACTATCCATTACGCCACTGTATACTGCAAAAAAATTAGTTTACAAAGGGTTTATTCGTTCACTAGAAAACATCGGTATATATCAACGATAAATTTCCCCTGTAAAAGACTCCTCTGTTCCACAAAAGTCGAATAACTCCGCCCTCAGGTACCGATCGTTCGTCCCCATAATAAAATCGTGAATCTTCCTCGATTCGAGAATAGAACCTGGTGTAAGAAGGTCTCCTCCCGAAATCTGTTTAATCGAATTCCAACGCCGTTCACATGCCTGTGAAAAAGTCTCTACTCCTGCTCTCCCCTCAGGAATAAGGATATCGCGATTCCCCGGGTGCCCTGTAAAAACTCTGAACGATGGGAGCCACCGGAAGGTTGCATTGAGACGCAGCAGACTGCATTTTTCATTGCGTTTACCTCCCTCCCCCCTCGCGAAGATCGATCCTCGGGAGGCAGGGACGACGACAACGAGCGGTGAAGCAAGACTCTGGTCTCTCGCGTTATCGAGCGGCACGAGGCAACGGGAGAACACAAGGAGCAACATTTCCCCGATGGTTACACGGTGTAAGCGTCCCATCGCTATCTCCTCTCGTGTACTCAAAACAGATAGACAGCTCCAGTGACCCCTGTGTGTCTAGGGAGTTCCATTGTTTCGCGTGGCACGATCCCCTACGACAATGACTATATCCATTACGACCCAACGTTGTGTTAAAGTTCTTTGTTTTTTTTTTAGTCAAATTTACATTATTCAATTGTATTTTTCGTGTAGCAGTTGTGAAACAGGCTTCCAAAGATTTGCTTGATATTTTTGTTTGGCAATGTTTCTTCTTCCACATAGATCTTACGACGTTTGGAAATTTGAAGAGTTTGATATGGGTATCTTTCTCATATAGTGGGCTTCTATAATATAGTGTCTAGTGCTATAATGCATTTTTTATATTTCGACAAGATAATGTGCAGGTATTTTATTTATATGTTTCAAGAAAGAATTGCCCAAAGTTGCATACATGCAATATTTTGTCACACAAAGACTACCAGTCCAAAAATATTTTTTCAATTCAGAGTGTATTAAGCCCACTTTTAAAAA